GAGATAAAAAGGGGTGGCCACTTATGCGGGAACACCCTGTATGTATATATATATATATACCTATATATATATATATATATTATACAGGATATCCAAAAAAGGGTGGCGAATTATCTCGAAAAGAAGACGTTTTACAAAAAAATGTTTCAAACAAAAGTTGTAGAACTTGAAAAAATCTATTTACTGGTCTTATCGGTTTGACCTTGGGCGGCGTCACCAAGGTCAAGTAAAGTTATATTAATTTTTTTTAATAGAACACCTTTATTTTTTACCCTTATTTTTTGATTTCAGAATCTAATAGCTGGTGTCAAGAGTTTTCAAGATTTTAAATTGAATCAAATTAGTCTGAAATTTATCTAAAGTATTATTTAATGGTGTTTCTTGCGTTTAATCTCTTTTTTTATATTCGATTAAATAGAGAAAAAAATAGTATTTTTTTGTATTTAATAATAATTTTAGGAAGAAATTTATCTTTTTTGCTGAAATGCTTTTTTCAATATCTTTGAAACATATACAAACAATGAAAAATTCTCGAAGTGTAATTTTACATTGTATGACATTAATAATTACATTGATTATTAATTATCAATAATACAAATGTAAGGAAAAAATGTGTATAAGCATATAATGAGTTAAATTTATCAATTGAAAAAATTTGTGATTAAAATAATTCTGCCTTTCGTTAGTTATTTTACTGTATTATAAATATTCGAGTAATATCCAAAGTGATCAAGAAGCTTCTAGCATTTCGAAAGTAAATAAAAAATCGATTCCGATCAATATCTAACTGTCGGATATTTTCTGGCCATTATCAAGAGATAGATATGAAAGTATCGCTCCAAATGTCAAGCGCAGCAAGCGGTGAGACGAATCGTTTATATCGATGGACCGTGGTCCATCTACTTGAAAATACCTCTCAAATTATTATGTCTTCGTAACGTTTCGATCGATTACAATATAACAAATAATCTTAATATAAAACTGGAGTCTCTGTATTATATTAACGCATTTATTGTCATATCATTTATATACATATAAATGATCATATCTTTTATATACATATAAATATCATTTATATACATATAAATATCATTTATATACATATAAATATCATTTATATACATATAAATGATATTTGATTTTATGAAAAACTTATAGAATGCTAAACATGTTTTCTTTTTTTACTTTTACTGCTAGAAAATATCATTTTAGGTTATTAAACAAATATTGAAACATTAAGAGTCTATTAGCAAAGTAAAAGTTAATTATAATGTAATATTTTAAACAGTAAGTTATGAAAGAAAATGTGCTTAGTTTTTTAAGAGTTTTTCATATAATTCAATGTTATTCATGTAAAAATGATGTAGCAGTTTACATACTTTGTAACAAAATCATCTTCATTTTATTATACATATATGTATATGGTAAACGGTAGTATGGTATTGTAATAAAAATCCGAATCGATAAAAACATCATCATTGTTACTGTTGATCCTGGTTAAACGTTTCTGGATAATGCATGATTAAAGAATGCACTATTCCACAGAATATCGATTTAAGCATGGAATTTGGTAATGCGCATTGAACTGATGTTACCACGTACAGACACGTCGACTTTAATATAGCCCCTCCTAATTCTGCAAAAGACACACGATATATAAATCAGCGTGCATCACCGCGTGGGGCTTTTTGAATCTTGTGCCATACAGCTCAAGCGTAACCAGAAACATAGTCACAACAAGTCATGAATCGTGATTTTAATTAAATTAAACTGTGAAGAACCTTTGTATAGTATTAAAAATTATATATCAATATGTTATATTAAGAAATTATTTTATTAAAAAAGACAAAAAAATTTTACTAAATCTTTATGCTGGAATTCTAATTTTAATTTTCAAAACAAATCGAATACTAAAAAGCTTTAATATCTCGCTAGAGCATAAATCAATTATAGGAAGAGCGGATATTGATATAAAATATATTATTATAAACAATATTATATTACATTATATAACATTATTATATTTGAACTAGACTGCGTAAGTAAAAACACAAATAAATTTGAGAGCACCTTCTATGGTCACGGCTGGATCTTGAAGTCTAATAAATTCTATATGAATTTTTAAATCCATTATTCATTGTCAGCCATTTAAACTGCGTACCGAATCAACATTGGACTTACAATGTAATTATTAGCTGAAATTGCAATAATGAGATCACATTTGATCTTTAATTTTTAATTCAATGCTTATAAGCATCTTAAAATACTGCAAAGAAATAATTGCGAAAAATGTTACCTCAGCCAGGACTTTATGAGCTATTAAACACGAAGATCCAGCCGTGATTGTAGAAAATGGTTTCAAAAATATTATTATATTTTTTACCATTAGTGATAACAAAGTGATATTTTTTAAATTATTTGATCAAAAGATTTTAAGAAACTATAAAATAATATTCTTCACTTAAGCTAATAAAATACATTGTGCAAAGTCTATAAGTGTATTTTAAGTAAAACAATAAATATTTATATTCGAATATGTATATATATATATATATATATATATATGTATATATATATTGTAGTTATACATAATTATCCAGGTCTTTCGAAAATTCACAAGCCAAACTATCTATTTAGAATCGTTTTAACTATTAATATCTCGTTATTATTCTGTAGTGTCTGTTTTACACATATTCATCTCTAAAAATTTACTACTAATATTAGATTACATTGACAGTAACTTCTTAGTTAAAAATCTAACAGACGTACATAGATAATGACTTGAATTTATTTTAATTTTATTATATTACTTTTCACAAACATCCTAATAGATTTGGCAGTTAAAAGTGTGTCTAATAGGCCTTAACAATGGATCGAGACGAGAAGAAAAACTCTGTAAACCCATAAACTTCTTATCACTTTTAAAGAGAATATCCGTGAAAGTCTTAAGAGCAGTGTGTCTAACAGATGGAGATACATTTTATTGATTGCGGAATTCCAAAATAAATAAGTTTGTCGAGGCTGTTCAATGTGTTTAATTCCACTTTCTTTATTTTCGATAACCAGATTTAAAAACAAAACTTTAGACTAACCGTTGTCTGCCATCATTGCGGACTTAATGATGCAAGGATTTTGAGAATAATAGGGTGTTCACAAATATGAAATATATACTGCATCTATATATTTTAATATATTGACGACCTCTTGATGGCGATTCTGTCTACAGTAGCCAAAAAGAATTAAAAGTTCTAGACATTTTTAGTTCTTTCCATTCGATGTTTCATTTAAATTTAAAATAATTGAAGTAGACGAAGATAAAATGAATTTTTTAAATATGTCCGTTATTTTCATACATAATAATAAGATAAATTTTATTAGTATTATAAACCTATACTTTTTTGGTAGATTCTCTATTTTATGTCTCACTCTCTCCCTTTTCCCCTCCCAAAACAATAAAGGATCTAATTGATAAAGCATTTTTACTGTCACCCCCAGCATTTCACAAAAACAAAAAAATTTTAAACTCATTGTGAAAATTCTACTTTATAATGATTACCCGTTCAGTTTTATTTTCAGAGCGACTACATGTTTGATTAAGGGGGTACACTGGAGTGACGGGTCGAAAAATAAACTTATTTTTAGCTTGTATACTTGTGTTGTTAATAATTTATTATGACACTTCAATGTGATAGAAATATAGGAAATAAAAATATATATTTGATTTAGCATATTAAAAAAAATTTATAAATATAAATTTTTGGCTAAATTGTAACATAATAAAAAACATTTTGTTAAAAAAATTCCACTTCATAATTATTGTAATTCTTTAATTTCTAGAATCTAACATCTAAAACGAATGATTTTGTGTCATGATTTTATTCGTATATACATTCTTGAAGAACATTTTTTATCTTTAATTTATTTTTTAAAACATCTTCTAAATGATGGGCAAAAGCGATCTGATTATTTTTAAAAGTGTGTTTTTGGAAATATTTGAAAAATTGTATTGTTTTATTCTTAAATGAAATCAAGAATTATATTCTTTAACAGTTAAACTTTCGAATAAAATTGACTTTTTTTATCCATCACTCTGGTGTGCCCTAGTAATAAAATAACGCCTAAACAGAATGGCAATAGTTACGGATTCTAAAATTACGCTTTTAGAGTTTATAATCCTATATATTAAAACAATCTCAGATAAATTTGGAAATATAATAAAAACTTAAATTCTAAACTTTTTTTTTAATAGTACTAATAAGCTGTGCGTGTTTTTTAAAGAATTACTTACAATTACATAAAAATCCCTTTTCATGTTTGTTCAAAAAATACAGTTTAACTAATTTGTGATGACTGTGATGTACATCGGTCCAACAGACAAATAACTAAGACAAGAATCTTCGAATACTGAACCGAACTATATTCGTATAATAATATCTACACATTCCGCGGTCACTGTTCACAAAATGCAATTAGATCATGAATTTGATTTGATGAGAAAAATATTGGAATTCTGGATATAGAAAGAGATTTGAAAAGAGATATGAGATGCTTTCTTAAGAAAAAACCTCTCATACTTTTTCTTTTGCGGCCCACCTCAGACTTATTGGAAGGGGTCCCAGAACACCAATAAGACGCAACTTTAAGGCCCTTCTCAACCACACTCCTTGCGGAGATATCATTATATCCTATAAAGGGTACTTTCATATTTTTATATTTTCCTTTATTAGCTCGAGTTCGTGAGCTCGTTAAATACTATTGGTACGGATCAGGCATTT